TTACTTACTTATTACGTACGTTACGTTACGTACGTCGTACGACTACTAACGTAAGTAGCGACACTTACTACGTACACTACGAACGAACTAACAACACGCTCTCTCTCTCTCTCTCTCTCTCTCTCTCTCTCTCTCTCTCTCTCTCTCTCTCTCTCTCTCTCAATAAATAGAATATCAAAAAAGGAAAATTTTGAAAAATTCAAAACCCAAAGCAATGGAGACATTGGCGAAACTTGCCTCTGTAAACTGAATCCCTTGGTTTCCAGAATCAGATCTATAAATTCCTGGAAGAAAATAAAACAAAAAAAAATGAAGAAATCAATAGAGCTCTATTCCAAAGAGTTACCAGGATATTTACCAAAAAACAATTACCTCCATAAAATAAACAATATGAGAGAATCATGTTACTTAATGCTCACCAGATTGATTTGAGGCTTGAAAATCATCCATGGACGATGCTTTGCTCAGTTTATCCGCTAATCTTTTTTGCCGAATTTCCTCCAACTTCAAAGACCAGATCACAAAAACAATAAACGTAAATTATTTTTAGAGAGAGACGGAGAGGGAGTAAAATTTGATACAGTAGATAGTTTTGAACTGAAATTGATACCGTTCGTCGGCCCAGCGATGCGTGATGAGCTTCCATGGCCGACGAGGAGCAGAAGAACGATCAATCAGTTTCTTCCTCTCTCCCCCCTTCCCCTCTCGAGGGAAATTGTTTGAAGGGAGAAAGAAAATGACCAGAATGCCACTAATTCTTAAATAATTATTATTATATTTTTGGGTAATTCAGTTGGGGGGGGGTGGGGTGTGGGGAGGATTCATAAATGTTAATAAAAAAATTGTCTCTTAAGTCGATGTCTTTGTAGAAAACCTATGTACAAAAATGGGGTGCAGTTTGTATTGAGCTTGGGCTCTAAACAATCAAATGGAGCCTATCTTCAAATAATGTCTAATAAATGTGGTTTTAATATTCAAAATCTTTGTAATAGTCTTAAAAAATATATTTATATTTATTTATAAAGTTTGAAGCTTCAAACATAATACAGATCGACAAATCTACAAAAACTTGAAAATTTTCAAAATTGATGATCCAAAAATGTGTTACAAAATATATTATTTTCAAAACTTGAAATTCATTTTTTTCTCATGTCCGTGCATATTGATGTCGAAATGATCGATTTGAAGATATTTGGGCATCAAAACAACCTTTTCTAGTGAAATTTTGATGTAGGCTCAAATTTGATTGTTTAAAGCCTCGGCTTTATATAAACTTTTCTCAAAGATAAATGGTCTCTTGGTATATAAAGAGGTAACCATCATGGTTGTCCTTTAAATTTTAAAATAGGTGGTTGTAAGAGTGTCATTAAATAGAAACAAAATTCTAAAATATTTTTTTGGGATTTGATGAGTCACTCGAAACCATCCAATTTAACATTTAAATAATATGAATGATTGCGATCTTCATGTATAAAATATAAAAGAAAAATTTCATATAGAACCTTAATTCTTCATATTATTTCATGGAAGACTCTTTTTCCGTTTTCTTTCAAAACAACATAAAGAAATTTTTAACGATTTTACCATACCACTCATCTCTTATTTTTCCGTCTTTTATTGACTTTTGACCATAAAAATTTATTCCAATAAAATTTTTTATATCATTTCATCTCGAAAATTTTTGTAACCCTATTTTTCCCTTTTCTTAAATGGTTTATTTATAGACAACCGAAATTTCTATAATGACTCTAAAATCAATTTTCAACATCAGCAATAAATTTTGAAACTAAAATATCATACACATCTGACATATCCTTAAATATTTATTTTTAGGCGAAATAGACGGTATGGACAATTTGTTAAAATATTACATTAGCTTTAGAGTTTGAAATCTTAATTTTTTTCAACCATTGTGTTTAAGTTGAGACGATCGATGTAACGGTTTTCCAACTCTAATTACAGTTTTTGATGAGTTTGAAGTGAGGCTTTATTTTATCGTCCTCTCAAACCATTTTTCAAAAAAAAAAAAAAATATACGGGAACGCCGTTGTCATTACAGATTTCAAAGTGAGTCCCATCAACTGTTTTTTATGTAGTGCAAGTTCAAATCACCAATTATTACGGCAGCGCACACTCTTCAATCTTCATAAAGCCGCAAGGTCCCAGCGCATTTCGGAGGAGTAGTTTCGTAATTTCTCTGTGGCATTTTCGACCTTCACCCTAAAAAAATTTAAAAAAATGAGAACGGGGGCAAAGTGAAAAGAAAGCATTTTCTCTCTCTAACTTTCTCCCTCGCTCTCGCTCTCGCTCTCGCTCTCTCTCTCTCTCTCTAGGAAGGCGAGAGAGTTGTCTCTCTCTAACGTTTCTCTCGCTCTAAAGAGTCTCTCACATCTCTGTTCTCTAACGCAGCATCGCTTAACTCCAGGCCTTTCAAGTTCCTCTCTCTAAAATTTGAAGGCATTGTTCCTCTTTCACTTTCTCTACTTCTCTCTCTAGAAAGATCAGGCTATGGCAGGTGGCCAATCGCTCCTGGCAGCGTGTGGTGGTGACACAGTAAAGCTATTCAACGTCTCAACAGAGCCTGGAGACCCCTGCACCCTCCATTACTCGCCTTCTCCTGGTTTCCAGGTTAACTCAGCCAAATGGAATCACACCAGTAAGTCTCCTCTTCAATTCTTATAATAGTTTTTCTTACCCATTAATCATTTCAACAAGCCCCCCCCTTTGTTCTGGTTTCTCCTGAAAATTCTTAATTTTTCATTTTTTCATCTTATATAACACATATATTTGTTCTGCACTCCTTGATGTTCTTTTAGTGTTGCATTATCCGTGGACAATCTTTCTTTTCGGAGTTTTCTGATTTTATTATGTTGTTTCTTGGTTATTTTGATGATTCATTTCCTTTCGAAGCATTCTATGATATTTGATCTTCCATTTTGATGTGCACACGTTTTAAGCTTTCTATTGCCATTAACTTTTTGAGGAGGAAGTGGAACTATTGAAGCTTGGTACATTTTTTGATAGGTTTCTGTGTTTAGAAGTGGCTGAGTTTTAGGCTCCACTTTATTTCTTTTCATTCTGATTATGGTGGTGTTGCTCGCAAACGCTAGGAAAGAATAATAATAAAAAGAGATATTCCCTGCATTTGATTTATTCATAGTTTTTTTAAAATTGACATCTTCTTGAATCAGAAGAGGGATTACCTTTTCATAACTACCTCTTCTTTTCTTTTTTTTAACCTTCAAAACGCGCATTTGTATCAATGTACGCAAAGAACATTTTTTTCTGTAAGTTGCATACAATGGACTGAAAGGACACACAAGGAGCATTGCCGTGTCCATAATCCATATACAGGTCACAAGATTTGCATAGTGGTCACCCCTGCTTCTGTGAATGCAGTGACAAAGAAATGACATCTATGATGATGACCATGTTTGTATCATGTTTAACTACTGACAAATCTATTTGATGTCTTTCATTATATTCATTTCACCTAATTGAATCCCATAGAAATTGCAATATCAATTGTTGTTGGTCTCTTTGTTTCAGGTCACTTAGGTAAATATACTTTACAGTTCTAGTTGTTTTGTGCGTTTTTTTCTCTATATCAATTGATGCATATAGATTTGTTCTTTCAATAATTAACTTCTCAATCATTTGCATGCAACTGTAGGAAAGATGGTTGTTTCGTATCAATAATTAATTGATGTCATTACACAGATTTAGTTGTTGCCAGTGCTGGAGATGACAAGAAAATCTCTTTGTGGCAGAAGAATGGACAGAGTTTGGGGACAGTGCCGCCATCTGGCACTGATGTAGGTGATAAAATTGATGTAAGTTTTGTTTGTCAAGTTTTTTTTTGAGAGTAAGTTTTGTTTGTCAAATTAAAATGGTGAATTTATTTGTCTTTTCCTTGCTTTTGGGTGCTATATTTATGGGTTGTGGGGATACTTGTCTCAACTCTGCTCTGTTTCTGCATCCCTAGCTTTAAAAAATATTTATCTGACAGGACAGTTCAAAGCTTATCAAAAAATAAATCTATTATAGGTTAGGTTTACTGGAATAATAGATGGTCACCATCGTCTGACTGCATCGCTTTTCACTGTATGCATGTTTCACTTTACTTTTAAAAACTGGGTTGATCTTTTCTTTAAATTTGATTTCAGTGTGTTATAAGTCGTCATTTTAAGAATTTACTTGAGGCCCTAAACCTACTGAATCCCAAGGCCCCAACACCTAGTGAATTTGTCTGAGTCAACTGCTTGGTTTATCTGAATTATTTGAGTGCATACAGTAATGTAACACTATTTATTCTGTACAAGGGACAACATGACTACTATTGGAGAGAAAAGAAGGAAGAAGGGAACTTGATAAATACTGATTAAAATTGAAGCATGATGGTCCTGCAAAAATGTTGAAAACTCGAAGCTGTTGCTTGTGAGTTGCTTGATGTTTCCTGGAGAATGTTTCTAGTTCTGGGAGCTCGTGTGGCTTTCACATAATTTGTCATAGTCGTTGGTTTTTGTGAAGTAATGTCTTTCTGCATCAGAATGGAGAATGTGTGATTCTCATTCTTCTCAAATGTATCCTATGCTATCTTGAGGAATTTTTAGAGCTCCTATAGTTGCTAAAATACACTAATGATCGGTTGAAAGATGTAATCACTGAGCAAGACTTGAATGCAGACCATATTGATTCCTATAATTATGATACAGAATTGTACTGCCTTACGAAACACTAGTAAAAAATTGTTTTAAAACTTTTTGAATTCTGGAGTATGCATAACTTGTAGGGCATTGCTTGTCATGTGAATAATTCCAAAGTGAGGCATTATTGTGACATCCATTCTTAAGAACCCCATTGCTATTTCCTTTGAATGCACTGCATGGAGTTTTTGGGCATTGATCAGCTGCTGTGCTCAACCCACATCAATGCATCCATCTTTAGTTTAGCATACATTTGAAGTATATTTCATTTAGACACTCTTCTTTGTCCATCCAGGAGTCTATTTTGGCTATCAGCTTTAGCAATAAAGGTTCCAGGTATCTTTGTTCTGGGGGCACTGGTCAAGTGGTGCGGATTTGGGATTTGCAAAGGAAGCGGTGCATAAAATGGTTGAAGGGTCACACTGATACAATTACTGGTGTTATGTACAATTGCAAAGATGAACATTTGGCATCCATTAGTTTAAAGGGGGATCTCATTCTTCACAACCTTGCATCTGGTGCCCAGGCTGCAGAGCTCAAAGATCCAAATCAACAGGTTGTTCTGATGTGGAATCGGTTTCTTTCATTACTGCATTTTACTGTATCTATAAAATTAGTAGTTGTTTCTTTGGTATTGAAACTCTCGAGTTTATGATTCTAGAACTCCTCAATGTCAGGTATTGAGAGTGCTTGATTATTCTCGAACTAGCAGGCATGTTTTGGTCACAGCTGGTGATGATGGGTCTGTACATTTGTGGGATACTACTGGGCGTAGTCCAAAGGTGTGCTCTACCATGTCCTTTCAAATGCTATCAAAGAAACATCTGCATTTTTTTTATATGCCATTGTTCATGAGTTATATACCTTGACTCGCTTAGAGCATCTAACCTTGGTCCAAAAATTGCCAAAATCATGTTAGTCTTTTATGTTTGCTGGTGACTGGCATTCTTTTAAAGTTTACTGATGGATAACAAAGTGCTAAGATAACAAAGTGCCAAGTGTTACACAGAGCTGCGAGGAATTGCAACCTGACTAGATGAAAAGATTCATTTCATCTTGTTGATGTGGATCCAACTGCATTACATTCAGTAATATGACTAAGATTGACACATTCTTTGGGTTTGATATCAAAGACTAATTTCTCATAAATGTCATAGAATATTACTTATGGTTATGTCTAGAGCTCATCAAATAATGAAGTTATTGTAGGAACCTTGACCTTTCACCCATTTGATGGTGGACTCTTTTTATCATACAGAGTACTTCACGAAACTATACCATTTTGAGATATTTTATTGCTTGGACCAGAAAGTATATTGGTTGGATCACATTGAGACAGAGCAAGGATGACTTTTTAACTCGTCTGGGTCTTATTAGGTCTCTTGTTATGACATTTGGTCACATAGCCAAAAAGGGAACAATCTTAACTCTCTTTTTTTAACCATTTTTTATTTGTATTTTAAATTTGTTTTTTACTATTTTAATTTTGTTCAATGCATTTATCTTGACCACATTGTTCAATTATGTATCTTATGTAAAGGAACATCATTATTATCATTATCTGAGCTTTATCCCAACTATTTGGGTTGCGTACACGAATCCTATTTCGTCATTTTGAGTTTTATTCCAACTATTTGGGGTTGGGTGCATGAATCCTATTTCGTCATTCCATTCTATCAAGGGTCATACCTTCAGGCAGACAATAAGGGCACGTTTGGTATATGTGAAAGTATTTTCATGTAAAAAAATTCCCTTTGTAATTAGGTTTGGGAATTTTTTCGCATCTATTGGATGCTAACTGGTGTTCCAAAATGCCTTGGCACTGATTGGTGTGAAAAAACTCTCACACCAAATCACATGAGGGAATCTTTTACGTGAAAATACTTACGCGTACCAAACATGTCCAAAATCACTATATCTTTTCCCACTACTTCTATCCATGTCAGTTAGAGTCTTCCCCTTGCTCTTTTAGAGCTTTCCACTTAAATCTTAACCGATGTTATTCTAAGTCGATATTGTACATGAACAGATCACCTAAGTCTACTTTTCCTCATTTTATCGCCTATTGAAGCTGCTCCTAAGTTCCCTCAAATGAATTCATTTCAAATGCGATTCCTCTTTGTCTTGCCGCTCATCCATTTCAACATCCTCATCTCAACTATGCTCATTCTATGAAAATGAATATAATCAGTCCAAATATTAGAAGATAATGAAAGTGCATTTATAGTTTCCAAAGGGCTTAAAATAATAAATATTTAACATCTTTTCTTACGTGCCGTAGCTTTGTTTTTGTAATATATGTGTGTACGTGGGAAATATCTATGCGAGCGCCCCACCTATGGAACAAGAGAGGCAAGACAATCCAAATTTATTCTCTAAGATCTAGATGGCTGACATGTGTGCACAATGCACACTGTTTTATTTTTAGTTTTTCTACAAAATCCTTTTGACTTGAAATTTTGGGAAGAGATGGGTCTGACCTAGGTGTGCCAAGATATATATAAAAAATATATGCGCCAAAAAATGTTGACCAGGATGCCCCTGTGGCCCTGCGCCTGCCGGTGAATGTTGGCCGTCAAATAGTTTAATTTGGGCTGTCAGGCTCACGACTCTTCTGTAGGCCCCCCTACCACAAAATATTGATCTTATATAAAGGTACTTATAAGCCAAATTTAATGTAGGACACATGGCTTAGGACTATAAGGGGGATTTAATAATAGAGAGAGTCTAGGCATCAAAACTCTAGATCAACTTCAAGGTTGACTTATTAGGAGTTAGAGTTTAGGGTAGGAGATCTACAAATCCTGCTAAGGCATTATTTCCTTTTTAAAACTAAGAGTGAAAGTTTAGGGCAGGAGAAGGAAATAGGCCACTACTGTATTATATGATTTCACGCCTCCCCTGCTAGATGCCTTTATGCCTGTATTATGAATCTTGATCAGTGAAATTTGAACTTTGGACGTCAGGTGCAACTATCAGCAATATAATTAAGGACACGGTTTTGGTGAGTCAGCCAACTCACCTATTACTGTGCGGTCCCTTGTCTATCTAACGTCCATCTCTAAGATGGACCTTAAAAAATGTTACAACCACTAGAAGTTAAAATGGATGGTGAAAAAAGGAATTCAAAAATAACATTTATATTTTTTGAAAGACAAAATTCCAAATTTAGATCATTGTCATGGTTGAGATTATTGAACTCTAAAATTGTGGATCAAAAATACATCTTTGAGATATATTTTGCAGGGGACTGCAGAAGAATAGTGAGTCAGCCGACTCTCCAAACACTCTTCCTATAATTAATTATGACGATGCTTGGGTCCCATATTTTATTCTTTTTCATTTGATCCCTCGCTCTCTTAAAAATATGCATGTATTGTGCTAGTAAATGTATTAATGCATACATATATGGAAAGGGATTTCATGAAACAGTTTTGTAGTATCATAGCTAATGAAACAGCTTCTTCAAAAACCATTTTAGGAGCATTTGTATGGTCTCAAATTCTGCCCAAATACTCTGTTCATCCAAAGATTGATTTCAAAGAACAGAATTTTCAAAAAGGCACCCTTTAAAGTAAACTTTTTGAACACAAAATGAACCTAGGCCATCTATTTGATGTGATGGTAAGATCTCGGCTCTAGTTTTTTTTTTTGACCCCTAAATTTCATATCCGACCTTGGGGGTCATCTAAGAAGGGTGATGACCTTAAACTTTCCCTTAACTCATCCCATGCTCGCGTAAAGGGGCATTGTTGTGTTAGGTAGGCAACCAACATAAAATTTTGCCAAAAGCCATCATCACCTTATCATCATTAGATGAACAATTTTCACAAAGAAAAGAAAATATTTTTTGAGTTCTTAATGGCTATATCAATATGTCCACCAAATGGACAGCCTACGTTCATTGTTGAAGCAGGAGTGCAGGACTCATTTGGACCATTTCCATGATGCAAATTCAAAGTTTTTCTTTTTAAGATTGAGTGTGCATGCAAAATCTGTAGTCACACAAATACTGCAAACATAAATTTTTGAAGGAGTTGTTTCATTATATCACTATGAAATTGTTAGGAGGTGCGAGTTGGTTCAAGTAGAAAGCTAAAAAAGGGCTAGGGGTAGGCGCAAAAGGACATAGTTGAAAGTAGTGAGAAAAGATATGGGGACTATTGGCCTCACTAAGGGTATGGCCCTTTATAGAGCAGAATGGTGGACTAGGATACATGTAGCTGATCCTAAATGGTGTGAGAAAAGGCTTTAAGGATGATGATAATGGGCTTGGTTTTTACAAGGCGTCAACCTTAAATTATGGCCACCTCCGAATCTTGTCAAAAAATGTAGTTCCGGTGTTTGACACCCCTTTAACGGCCTGAAAATATATTCCATTACTAGTTATGAAATTTCAAGGTCCAACAATAGTGTCGATCAAGCAGATCTATAAACACTTGAAGCTCTTGAACATCGATAGATAATGTTTTACAAGGTGCACTATTTTTAGGATTTAAAATTCTCTTTTCTTTATATTCATATATCCTAAGGTCGAGATGATCAATAGGAGGTTTTCCAGTGCTGGGAAAACTTTTAATGTGTGCATTACTTTTACTTTGTCGAGAATTGGAGTTTATCTTCTTCAGTGAATTGAACAGGGATTCATCTTCCAGTTATAATAATGCACTAATGCAAATTTGTGAAGCAGCTAATTATTAACTCTCGTAAAGAGAACTTTGAAATTGGAAGATCGTGATGTCCTTATAACTTTCACATTTCACTAGTAGATCATACTGTTATGAACAATACATTACAGAGTATTCTAGTAGAAACTTGTCTACATTGATATGATCATATGAGAACCAATAAAGGTTGAAACACCATGTTCTCTCCCTACCTTTGACTACTGATTGATTTGTATCTTGTATTTTGTTCTAGAATTTAGACCTTATAGCAGTTATCATAGTGCCTTGGTCTCTTTCTTGCTTCAAGAATTACAGCCACCCTGTCTTACTTGGTATGGGCAGGATCTTAGCTTGCTTGAGTAGGTACAACCTTTTAAAACAGAGTCATGCAACAACAAATTAGATTTGCAAGGTTTTGGCATTCCTTGCTATATAACATTTAACTTTTTTAACTGTTTGCTAAGGAAATTAGAAACCAATATTGTCATAATATATTAAAAAAAGTGACAAAAAAAAGATTATTTCCTTCATATATTTTTATTGTTTTTAAGGTTTTTTCCTGGAAATCTTAGTTGCTTCTTTTCATGAGATTTCCTTGTGTATATGTATATTACTTGCATTTGAGATATTACCATTTTATCATGAAGAGTTGCTTATATTGGAAATTGTTTCTCTATGTACGTTATGTGGTGTCAGATTTCCTGGCTGAAGCAGCATTCTGCACCAATTGCTGGTGTTTGCTTCTCTCCCCAAAATGACAAGGTTCTTCCTATGTTTGGTTTTTCATTATTTTCTTATTTATTTATTTATTAGATATTAGAAATGAAATTTGGCTTTAAGCTTTTCTTAAATAAATCATTGAGCTTTCTGGAGTCACACTTGGTATTTGTCGGATCTCATAATGTTGATTGAGGTATGTAATAGCAAATCATCTCTGTAGTGAACTGCAGAATATTCTTCTCTAACTGTGCAGATAATTGCCAGTGTTGGCCTGGATAAAAAGTTATATACTTACGACACAGGGTCAAAGCGAGCAACATATTGCATTCCTTATGAGGCGCCATTCTCTTCACTGGCATTCAAAGAGGAAGATTGGCTACTGGCTGCTGGAACCAACAGTGGTCGTGTTGTCTTTTATGATGTTCGTGGGAAACCACAGCCATTCACCGTGCTACGTGCCTATGGCAATTCGGAGGTGAAGATCTTCTATCCTCATTTTTCTATGTTCCAAATGGTAATAGGTTGATTGTTTGCTTATATTGTTACTTTCATATTGTTAATAACTTTCATTATAGGAAAGTGCAAGCAAGTTACACCAAGCCTTTCCCTAGTTATATTCAGGGCAACTCTAACTCTATATTTGCTTTTCATCTGGTTATGTTGAGTATGTTTCTGGTATATAATGATTGGGTTTAATGTAGATCAATTAGTTTTTTGTTTTGACAATAGAAGCCAGTGAGAACCTTCTTCTTGAACTGCAAAGATCACAGGGTGAAATAATTTGATCACGAGATGGTCTTTTATATAATCGTCATTTTTTGGGAAGGATAAAATAGATCTTAAATGTATAGTCGTAGCTAAAATGAATTGCTTCATACTCCTTGTTTATGAAGCTTGGCTGTTTCTTCTAGTGGAATGCTGCTCAAAGTGTATAGTAGGGGGGCTATTTGTGAATAAGGATGTGGTTTTTGCGTGATTTTACCATAATTTTTGCACATTTTGATTGATGAATTTCAGGCTGGTGCGGTGAAACATATTTCATCTGTTAGTGAAGCATCATATGTTTTTGGTATTTTTCATGGTTATTTTCTTATCGAGTACAAAACAATTGGCAGCATGAATGATATGCTTTTGTGCTCTTAGTTGAAATGAATTTTATTTCTCCACTGATGGTTTTTATCTAATTTCAGGCCGTTACAAGTTTATGCTGGCAAAGGTCAAAACCCATTGTTGTAAATGAAAATAATTGTACCACTGAGGCTGCTCTTTTGGGAGGTGCTGGGGACGACTCAATCCTCATGCCAGATCCTCTTCCTTCAATGACATCATCAGCTCCTTCTTCTACAGTAGTTTCTAGTTTGCGTAGTTCTGGGCGTGTGCCGTCCATGTCTGATGCTTCTTTTACAACTACGAGCATTGGTTTGCCAACTAACACGTCATTCCTATCCACTCCAGAGGAAACTCCAACTCGAAATCATTTACTAACAACAGGGTCCCTAGCAAAGTTACAGGCTGCTCGTTCTAGTTACAATTTCAAAGATGATATGGAAGTCTTCTCTCCTTTAGTGGATGTCCAACCAATTACACCGTCACTGGGTAATTGGGATGATCATGATGATTTGAAAAAGGATCACACTTTGGTTGATAAAAGGCCAGGACTACTGTTTCCTTCATCAATAAGGAGATTTCCTCATTTGAAGGATGGGAATTCTGATTCGCATCCAATCTCAGATTGGAAATCTACGTTAAGTTCAAGACAGGTACCGGTGTGATTTCCTTTTTGTTTATTTTGTTGTGAAATTCTTAATACATAACTAGAGGGATGAACGTGCAACATCGCCCCTGGAGAATACAGAATATTGCATATGAACCCGAAAGCTTGCCTTTTGAGATGGATACTGCTAGGGAGTAATAATGAACAACATGACAAATATGATCAAATTTAAGTACTTTCATTGATTACTTCCCCTATTATGCTGCATGAAGTTTCTTTCATGAATTCTATATTTAAACTAAAGCTTCCGTGGAAAATTATGCATGATTTTGATTTCATTACACTTCTAAAATCTCTATCAATGTTCTTTTTCTCTTTCTAATCCATTTAGTCTTTCATCATCATTGTAGTCATATTATGTTTATATGCCATGCAGGATGATTCTCAAACCTCTTCACTGGCAAGCTCCACACCTGTGACATCGACATCGTCAAGGAGCGATCGGTCCTTTTCTGCAAATCCACCTGAAGCTTGGGGTGACGATATAGTGGCGGATAAGTTAACTCGCCATCGTCAGCTAATTGGCATGTCATCTCGTCTTATGACCAGCAGTCAATCATCATCTGGGGCAACAGTGCCTAGTTCTGTTTTAGGAGGCTTGCATGATTCATCAATATCTGTAGGCCTCACTAGTGCAAGTTATCTATCAAGCACAAGCCTAAGTGCGCCTCAACTTCAAGGCAAAGACATCACTGGCCATGAGATCCCTTCCTTGCTTGCTGACTCATCTTCCAATCTTAATTCTACTCTATCTACATCAATAGGATTCAAAAGCATGCAGGGACCATCTAATCTTGAAGTTCCGGGATCAGTACCTGTGAACCTCGCAAGAAAATACACGACTTATGCTGAGAGGATAAGTAACCGTGCATCCTTTGGTGATGGGGCGGCTATTGTGTCTGGCTCGCCCAAGTTGAAGAAAACAGGAGTAGAAACCAGGGAAGAGCTTATGAATGCCTCACTTCTGAGATCAGATACATCGGCTCCTGCAAGCTCTGGAATTCCTCCTGTTGCCAATGTGAGCCTTGCTTTGATATATTTTAGTTGATATATGCAGCATATTGGTTGTTATTGACAGTCATTTAAAAGAAGACATATTGGTATTACATTTCAGTATCCCTAAGATTTATTTTCTACGCCCCCCTCCCCAAAACAAAAAAGAAAAACAGACGTGGCCCCTGATGTGTCTGCAGGTCTCGGGTGATTTTGAGCACTGATTTTTTACGCGATATTTATATACATAGAAATACACCTCTTAGTAATCTATTTTTGAAATGGATGTTGGCCCAAATTTTTAAGAAGTATACAATCTCTAAGACTCTAACATGGAGATCGTTGAAATGTAAAGTAAATAAATTGAAACTAAAAATAATAACTTTTGAAAGAAATATTTGGACCATTGGTTTGAATTTTTTTTGGAGGGACCACCATTTACATCCATCTTTGAGATGGATGGTTTATGCCTCATGGGATGCAAATGTAGAAATGCATCTTATATATATATACACACACACACATGTGAGAGAGAGAGATGTATGCAGTTTTCTATGTAATTCTTTTCGGTAAATACTTTGACAGGGACCCTTATCACATTCTCAGAAGGGTCTGGGTCTGGGTCAGCATGAACATCAACAGCTCGGGACTCCATCTTTTGCTCTGCAGCTGGTTCAGCGCACTCTCGAGGAGACCCTAAGTTCTGTTCAGAAGTCGATTCATGATGATGTCAGAAACCTTCATATTGAGCTGCTGAGGCAGTTCCATATGCATGAGGTATGAGATACGAGCGTTAACTTACGTTTCTTTGCTACCTTGTCTTTTGTTTTAGTTTTACTAGGGGATTCTCTGTAATGGTTTACTTTTTAACAGATGGAAATGTCGAGCTTGTTGAACTCTGTTCTAGTAAAACAAGAGGAGATGATGAAGGAAATTCAGGCGCTTCGGAAAGAGAATCAGCAACTTCGCCAGACATTGCTTTGAGGGTCTTAATGTGCGAGTCTTTCTATGCTTTTCTCTCCCTCATGTTTCGATTTTGTTCTTCTTCTTTTTTCTTGTCCTAATGAAGCATTCTTCTGTGCAGGTACAGGGATGAGGTTTGCTTGGGGCAATGCGTGGTATTGTAGGTTGAGCTTTGTGCTGATTGTCTTGCTGTCTTGTAGAGTTAATGTTTCCAATATGTTTTGGTTGGTTTTCTTGGCTTATTATCGTTCTCTTTAAAATAGGATGAAGTTTTCATAAGGCCTAGGCTTTATGGAAACAAATAAAGCTGCATGTCAAATCCACGTCTAGAAAGCACTCTCGGCAGCGGAAATCTCCATGATCACTCTAAAATAAATTTCCAACACCGGCAATAAATTTTGAAACTCAAAAAGTGGTACGGATCTTGCGGATTTATGGACACTTACTTTTAGGGAAAAATGTACGGTCTAGATAATTTGTTTCAATATGCACTATTTTTAGCGCTTGAAATCTTAATTTGTTTTCACAATCATAATGTTCAAGCTGAGATGATCAATGTAAAGGTTTTTTTTCTACTTGAAATGCAATTTTCGATGAGCTATTAGGTGAGGCTCTACTTATTTTGATAGGGCTGCAGCCCTATCAAACCATTTTCCTTCAAATATGCCCTTGTTTTTTCCCACTGTAGGTTTTAATATTGTTTAATCAAAAAGGGCAAAGGAGTCGAAAGAAAAATTTGGAATATCAAATATCATATTACAATGGAAATTAGCAGCCGAATAGAATGCATGTGTGCACCTTAACAACTGGAGAATAATGAAGGAACATCTAAGCCGTCCATATGATTCAGATTGCTGTTCTAGTGGAAGATTTAGGGACATTTCTGACATGGACATGACAGCCTTAAGAATTGAAGTATTTTATGAATAATTATAAGGAAGCTCGGAATGGAGAAGATGGGATTTGTCAATCTAGATTGAGCAATATATTCTTTAACAACCCTGATTATGGGTTCTTATGGGCCCTTTTCTGTAATCCAGGTTGAGCAGAGGCTCTTACTAAGAATATCAAGGTAAAGACTCACTGGTAGATTCATGTGCGGGACACTTAGGAACGATTGCTAGGTAAAACTTGAGCTGCTAATCTTTGCTTAGCCATTAGGGGAGGTCAACATTCGACTTGTTCAAGTTTTGTCTGAGGAGAATTAGGGGTGGCAATGGGTCGGGTAGCCTAGCCTGGCCTGGCCTGATCAACCTAACCCTAAAAAACAAGGGCCTGGGACATAACATGTGGTTCTAGGGCTGGGCCAAGGCTGGGCAACTGCAACCCCAGGGCAAGACCAGTTTATTTTTTTATTTTGCCAGGCCTAGGCAATGGACTCTTTGGACCAGTTGGGGTTGTGCCAAGCCTAGGCCAGCCCTTTGGGGACTAGGGGCTGGCCTAGGCCATTGCAAACCCTAAGGATATGCACTTTTTGTCTTTTAAGAGATGCACGTTAGAACCACCATATGAGTATTTTCAAGAGAAAAATAAAATAAAATTACTCCGAGTTAACCATCCGAAACTAGGTGATCTTTGATCCATCCTAGGACTACTTGCACTTACGGTGCGTACATTTTCTTTTCTCCTGATGTTGGTAGCTAGGTTCAAGTTACATCCCAAAAGCCCGTAGTCCTAAAGATACTCCAAGAAGTATCAAATGCAAGCAATTGGATTTCATACACCATCAAAGGTCAACATAGGATTGTTGGGGAGTGTCTTTCCAGCACTCTAAAATTTTTAAACACTTCTCAGCAGCCGTCCAATGCCTAACAATGGACAATTGGAGAGGACCTAGCATATTGTAAGAACCTCAAAGTCATAGCACATCTTACTAACCCCAGAAAGAGGCGAGAAAAATCCAAAAACATGAATGAGAAGAAACAGATTTGACCTGTTATGAACTAACAGGTCAATCTGTTTCATGGCCAATAATTCTTTAAGAGCGTGTAAGCCATGCTCATGTGGGAGCATACTGTATAGTTACTCCCTTAAGGCAGAAGACTACTTTGGAAGTTTTTTTTTTAATCTGAAACTCAGTGCTGTAAAAACCACAAGATGATTATATTGAAAAAAAATCAATATTTTAGTTTTCTAACACTAAGATATGACCCTAAAAATTTGGACAGTTTTCTAATCAATGTTGAAGCATTAATTTTTCCAAGCCCATAGATATTGCAATTTGAAATATTTTCTATTGAGTATATAGCAAATGGATTGAACGGGTGACTTTTTCTATTGAATGTAGCAAAAGTGTTTTAAGAGGGTAAATGCCCAAAAAGTTCTCCTAGGTTGGGTTTTGCCCGAGGGAGTAAATGGATACCATGCCCTTCCAGAGAATGAAATCGTTGGCTTTTAATTTCTCATAACCTACAAACATGCACTTCATTAATAGATTAACTAAGTTAATCACACGGATACTATTCGGAAAATGTGATGGAACACATACAGGGAAATGGCAGTCATGAACTGCACTACTAAGCAGCTTAATAAAGCATCCAAATTCACAAACCTCAGAAGCAATCACTTCAATATCTCAAAAGAAAACTTCAATTTTGGCTCTCTCCCTCACTCAAAAGCATGTGTATCCACATATCCCACATGTACGATTCCTATGCATAAGCCCAAGATATCATCTGTGATGCCATTCAGAACAGTGTCTTACAATCTTTGAGAGAGCCATTCGGGCATATCGCTGAATCCAAAGTACAGGAAAATGTACTCTTAATATATCCTTAAAGAGCAAAAAGCCTTTCATAAGGGAGGCCCAATACAAATGGACTCATAAAACAATTGAATCTGCAGAGTTCCCTTCCTGGCTTTAAAAATTCACAAGATAAGAGGGAGTGATTTAATTATGCTATACCTTAACAGTCATCAATTGTCAGGGGTCAAAGAATTACTGTACAAATCAATGGATTTACAATGAGAAATGAGAAATGCAAACAGATGAATTTTGTTTCAAAGACTGGGTTGGTCTTCATACTTAAGGAGGGCCATCCTTTGAGACCTAGACTGGCTTTGCCTGTTGTTGAGGATATCAATGTAACTGCGGAGCCGAAAGCGATCCGAGTTAGTGAGAGAGAAGGGGGGGTTGAGTATGAGAGAAGGTGCTTCCACCAAAAGAAAGAACAATAAGCGAACTGCCTTCGAGTAAAGCAATACTGCACTGTCTATGTCGCCCATCAGTTCATCCACCTGCATTTTATCAAAATATGTCCTTTATCAGCTCATCGATCTCTCTCTTTTCTTGGGAATTAATTCTTAGCCAAATCTTAAAGCCTCCTTTCTTTCTCACTTAACAAGAATTTCATCAACCAACATGTAAAGATATTTGTAATAAATCTAGCACCCGAGAATTGTTAAAAGGAAAGAATCTCCACACTTCAAAGAAAGCTCGTAAAGAGTTCGAGGCATGTGAGAGAGGTAATATCACCAAGAACAAAGGTTTAGTTTGTGGGGATTGTTGGAAATTGGCATCGGTATCAAGGAAATGTTAATTTTAAAGCTATGAACTTTCTTTCACTAGCATAACAAGAACGTTGGAAACATGTGTTGAAATTCTAACAAGAAGGAATTTGGTCAAATTATATACTCACAGCGCCAGTCCTGCCTAATGCAAGGGCGGATTGGAATATAATCTCCATTGGATCTGGCATCTCTGTGCTTCCTGTGATATAAATAAGGATAAAATAAATCAAATCCTAAACAATAGCCTAAGGAACTTTTTTTCTCTTGGTAAGAGAAATTTATTAAGAAATGTGCCAATTCATTGACCAGATGCAGAACTGTAGAAGCCATTAAGTTCCATCTCCCCCTCCCCACCCACCTCCTCTTCCCCACCCCAAACCACCACTCTCTCTCTCATAAACATACATGCACACACACATCACACACACACATATGATATCTTCAACTGGAGGCGTCAGTTTTCACAGTTTAGGGCCTAGGAGGTCAGGATAGGTTTCAAATATATACCATCTATTGGCCCAAGACAACCAGCAAGCTCCTCAGCACGCCCAACTTCAACGAGGAATTCTCTTTCAGTATGAGACCCAATGGCTGCTATCCCTAGAAAATCAACACCTCCAGGGGCTTCCACTGAGTTAGGGTTTTGCTGCTTGTTAACCAAACCTCCCTTTGCTATACTCCCTTGAGATGGACTTCCTTCTACGGCTGATGCAGCCTGGGTATGGCATATATGGAGCGCTTGTTTCCAGATTGCTAGGTTTACCAGCTGAATAGAGAAAGCTTCCAACTGTTTCGTCCCATCAATCTTTTGAGACCAATAATTGTAAAAAGAAAAAAGTCAATGAGTACAATAACAATAAAAAATAAAAGGAATCAAACATTTCAGACCAATATGGTTATTGTTAGCATAGAAAATCATTAATTCTTGTTACTTTGTCAGTTCATGGTAAATACTACTGAATTAGGATACAGAAAATGCAGACAGGAGAATTTTGGGGCTTGGGGTTTTGAGATATGATAGAAATGTCCTCCCTGCCAATAAAATGAACACTCTAGAAATTCCAGCCAGAGACAAAAGACATATTAAATCTTTTGATTCATTAACAAGCTTCATAATACATAAGAGAGAAGGCATAGAATGATTACATACATTTCACATTAATACTGCTGGTTTTGTGTCATAATTTACCTTGTCACGCACCAACTCTGTTATTGCATGGGCACATTGTTGCAACGACCTAAACCTTGTCAAGCAATCAGTTGATGGCTGCTCTGAAACATCTCCCATGTCCATTGATCCTTGCGAAGCTCCTGACAGAGCAGAGCTATGGCTTTCAAGGCTTCCAATTCCACAAGTCCTGCCCACTGTTGCACCAACGATTGGCATAGGTGCACTTATACTAGTGGTCCTTGCTAATGTTCTAGGAGAACCCATTGATTTTACAGGAGAATGGCCAAGCCGAGAAGCACTTCCTGATGACGATGAAACTTCCATTGATGGGCCCAACACAAAGACATAATCCTGATCACTTAACTCCAATGAATCCACTACTGGAAAAACCCATACAAATCGACAAAAAAAAATCAGCATTAAAAGATTTGGGTAAAGTTTCAAGATAGTAAAGAGAGCTGAAATTGTAAAGCATAGCCCAATGGCATATGGTCCTCCAATGTTAAATCTACTGATGGATTCTTGGGTTTAACTTTCAAATCCAATATCCATCAACGGGAGTAGATGGTAGATGTAGCTTCGAAGTAATTAACCACACACCATTGGACCCTGAAATACATTCTCATGGTAAAAGCCAAATCCTACACCTTTTGGAGAAACCTCCAAATGCCTTTGCTCCATGGCTGCAGTGGGTTCCTGAGGAATCTGACCTGAAGCTCTATTGTTTTGCATTTGCCTATAAGTATCATTTTCCACTTTATAATTGATGTTTCTCTCTCTAGAATAGACATCAGAGCCAGTGGAAGTGTTAGGAGTAGTTCTTTTGTTAAGTACAGTTTTCAACCGTGAAGAGGTGCAAGGCACTGAGGCTCTTCTAGAAGTAAATGGGGGGCTGCCAGGTGCATTGGTATCATCATCCAAGAGGAAAGGTAAACAGTCCTCTTGAGAACTCTCTTCGGCTTGTCTTGCTGGACTGCATCGAGAGGAAGAGAAACCATCACTTGAATTGTGCTCTGTCCTGACCATGAGAAAAATACAAAGCGAGTATCAATATTCCATAGATATAAACAAATGCAGAATGCACTGATTTTGTGATATTTTGTTATAAATCTAGTTACCTCATTGGCTCCTCCAAGTGATTGTGAGAAAGAAATGGGTGGTTGAAAAACTCTTCAAATGTCAATCGCTCCACTGCAAACAACAAATCACAAGAGTGAGAGATTAACAAGCACACAAAGGTTGTAAAAGTTCAAGAATTGCATTCCATAAATCACCCAAAAAAGGAAAGGCTCATAATGAGTTCGAAAAGAGAGAAGCACCGTATGAAGTTGACCCATAAGAACTTTTTAAATCTAATCTTTCTCTTTTCGAGCCCTACATATATGGAGGTCAGGAAGGTCTTCTTTGTGTGTGTGCACCCCACGCGGATGTGTGTCTGTTAATAATTAACTAGTTGTATGTGCCAGCAGAGACTCTTTTTGACCATGAGAGAAGCAGATTGTGACCCGATCGACACTTTACAATGAAATATGCTCCGGAAATGGCTGGGAAAGTATGAACATAATACAAATGCAAAATGCCCCTAATCAGAAGTCATAAGAACGTGCCTGGGTTACGGCGTAACAATTTTTGGCACAAGTCGATGCAATCTGGGCCCAACTCCTTTAAATCTGAAGGAAACCGCACTTCACTTGTCTTTATATTTTGCAATAACTATGTCAAAACCAGAAGGTAAGTCAGTTCAAAGAAAATTATACGAAATAAAATACTTCGTCATACTAAACTACTTGCAGACATACAACAATTTCAGGGACTAGCAGAATGCAATGAGCACCCAAACCTGGATCTGATCATTCCCAGAGAATGGGGTTTTGGCAGTAACAAGCTGATAGAGTATAGCACCAACACTCCACAGGTCTGCCTGCATAATCCAACAACGCAAGTAAATACTATTTGAAGAAGGGTGTGGTTTCTATAAGGTTGCAACCTTTAAACAATTCAATTAAGGCATACCTCCAAATTTTATCATAACATGTAATTTTGGTGTAAAAAACTTTTAGGATTATCTCAAAATCTATTTTCATATCTAATTAAAAAAATTTAAACTCCAAAAATAGTTAAAATCAAGTAGATCTATAAACATATGAAAATCTTCAAAATGGATGGCCTAGATAATGTGTTGCAAGATGCACTATTTCTAGGACTAAAATATTATTATTTTTTTCATATTTTACATCTCGATGTCGAGATGAATTAGAGGGTTTTCCAACATTAAAACAATCCTCTCCGATGGATTTTTGAGGCACATATTTAATTCTACAGTTTAAGATTGCAACCTTATATAAACTTTTTCCTTTGAAGAAAGAATGTTTTAAGTTACTTTCTTTTTCAAATGCGTTAAATTTGGCAGCTCTCACCTTTGCATCATACTTCTGAAACTGCATAATCTCTGGTGCCATATAGAGAGGCGAACCACACAATGTCTCTGCAAGACCTCGAGGATGAAGAGACCTGCCAAATTTAATTTTCAGACCTCTATAACATTGGAATCATTTTGCATAACCTTGACTACATATTTACATCACTGGAAAAATATATGTATGTATAAAACTCAGAAAGTGGAATATTTCCTTTTAAAGTGGTTGCCATTAGAAGACAGTGAACATAATCACAGTGAGTTTTTTTTGGGAAACATTAACCATTCATTTCATCATAACATCAATCATCAGTTTACATAGGCCAACAAGGACCCAAACAGTTATTACAAACCTTTAATTCAAATTAAAACTAAACAGGAAAAGAAGTAACAATTACAAAATAACAACATTTAGACTTGCCAAAGCAACACCCTCTTTAGCAAGACGAACGGCCTCCATATTAGACTCACAAAAAAAATGGCCAAATCTAACATTCAAATCACCACATTCCTCATTCACTTCCCTCACTAAAGCATGTATTAGCCAAGGGAATTCAGCTATTTATCCACTTAATGACATTTAGTGAATCTCCTTCCACTATAATTGGTTTGTTAAATTGCTTACCCAATTTAACACCTTGAAGCAATGATCTCAACTCCGCCTCATTTGCCGTGATGTTCCCAGCAGGACCAAAATACTTTAACAACACATTCCCTGAGCAATCATGAATGAGACCCACCAACCCAGCCAGGCCTGGATTTCCCATTGAGCTTCCATCGAAGTTCAATTTGACGCATCCTTCTTCTGGTGTTCTCCAAATCCCAACTCTGATCTCTTTTAGGCTCCTTTCTCTCAACAATATATTCAGATTATACATCAGATCTATACAAGGCACTCCCCACCAAACCTTGTTAATAGCTAACCAATTTGCTACAATTATTCTGATTTTTTCTTGTAAATCATCGATTGACTTACTCATATTCTCAAAACAACGTCTATTCCTTTCTTTCCATAACTCGCACACTATAGCAGCTTTAACCACTTTCCAGACACATTTTCCTTTCTTTCCCACATCTGATACATTCCAGTCATCAATGAACCTATCAGCCAGTGAAAGAATTTCAGGTTGAACCCCCAACCAGTTAAACACCCATCCCCAAAGGCTTTTCCCAAAGGCACAACTGAAACATAAATGATCAACTGATTCTTCATCGTTTTTACACATCAAACAAACATTTGGAAGCACTTTTCCTCTTCTTCTCAACATATCCACAGTTAGCAACTTCTTATGTGTTAGCAACCAAATAAAAGCACGAACTTTAAGAGGAATTGGCGATCTCCAAATCTTTGCTAGGCTTTTTTCTTCCCATCTAACTCTGTCATAATACATCAATTTGTAGGGAGACTTTAAAGAAAAGTTTCCTGAGCAGTTTAGGGTGGTCCATACACATCCGTCAACTTCATCAGGACAGTAAAAGTACTGTTGCAATAAGATCAAACATTGAACTAGCTCATCTGCCACTTCATTAATTACCCTTCTATAGAGACATTGGATATTCCACACTGCATTAAAACCTTTACCACTTACCATCTCACTAATCGTCTTACTTTTGGAATTAACCTTAGCAAAAAGATTAGGAAATTGGATCTTTAGAGGACCATTTCCAATCCAATTTTGTTGCCAAAATCTGACATTGTCACCTTTTCCCACCAACATACGCATATTACTTAAAAAGAATCTACGATGAGCAGCAATCCCTTTCCTTATAGATGTAATAACTCAAGCTCTCTGGTCCATTCTCCAAAAGCCTTGTCCTTGAGAGAGAGAGAGAGAGAGAGAGAGAGAGAGATGTGGAGTGTAGGTAGGCAACAGGTGGATATGTTTTTCCTTGCAGCCCTAACTCACCACTCTCATATCTGCTTCTTGCCCTAATTCTAGAGAGAGAGAGTGGATTGGTGACAAAAGTGGTCTGAGCCTCTGAGGATCTGGAGAAAGTATAATCACAGTCAGTTACATAGACTCATTTCAACAGAAAGGTTCTTACGGAAGCACATCCAATCTGGCCAAGAATCACACAAAGTTGACAAGATAGTTAACTCATCTTCCAATCGCCCAATTGTAAAAGTCATTTGAAAAGTGGCCCAAGGATTTCTATTTATCGTTTGCCACTTGTGAGAAGGTCAACTAAATTTCCCACCATAAGTAACCCCAAAATATGCCAAATCCAATTGGAGCAGGGCATCATGTTCCCTATCCATCCAATTCACCAACTCTAAAATACTTCTGAGTGCCATACTTCTAAGCATCACACTATTAAGAAGTCTTGAGAGAGAACCAGAGGCTCCCTCCATTTTGGCAGTTTTTACCATCAGCATCCACTGTACTAGCTGCCAAAATTCGCAGTAGCAAGCAAATATAACGGTATAACTAACTCCATAATAATGCTTTATTGTCCAGCAACCAACTGGAGTCGAGTCTTTGAAATCCTAGGAAAGCCTAAACCCTATGTAATCTGTTACTCCAAATTTAAATGTCTAGCAATATCCACACACTATGAAGCCTTTATCAATGTTTTCAGACAAGAGGGTGAAGACCTTTAGACCTGTCAAGATTTCCTTGACTTTGTCTCCTTTGAACAGCTCAAATCACGATCTCCCTCTGGCTCAGTATAGCTTTTGGAAGCAGGAAAGCTGCCCTGGAAAATTCTACTTAAACCCCATTTCTTGTGGGTTCTTAGGCCCTTGCAAGTCGAGAAACCTACAATTTTAATTGAGCTTTAAGACTCCCTCCAACTATTTAACCATCAAGGCATGAGATTTGGATCTTGGAGTTCACTGTCTTCCATCATCATCCATTCTTTGATCACGTCTGCACCTCTGAAGCAATAGAATATACTTTTCCAACAAGTATCATAGATGTAGAACATAAAACATTGATTTATAATTTTTTATACTTTTGACAATTAGACATTTATTTGATACTTAACACATACTCTCCTAACCATCCAGGTTACATCAGATGGCAAAGGTTGCGTGTTAGTATTTGAATTATATATTATTAACAAATTGTATTGACCAGAAATTTTTGTGTGCCTCACTTAGGCGCACCTAAAACAATTATGAAAAATTAATTTAAAAAGTTTAAAGTGACAAAATACCCATGCAACATTTATGGGGGCATTTTGTTAATTTTATTTTTTTAATTAACTTTTTATATTTTTTTTGGTGCGCCAAGTGAGCAAAATTTTCAAAATCAATAAAACTTGTAAAATAAATTTAAACTCAAATACTAACACACGCTAACACATGACCATGACCGTCCGATTGAATCTAGATGGTAGGGAACCTATGAATAAACAATGAAGAAATTTGCCCATAGGCATTCCTAAGGCGTCTCCTATATATATCTATAAGGCTATATCTCATTGTTTTAAATTCATAATTGTTCCTTTCTTCAATATTTTTTTTCTGGAAATTTTCATATTTTTTCTGTACTATTTATGATATTGATTCTAGCAAAAAGTAAGTGTAGCAAACCAAACAGTTGCAAGACCAAATGAAAATACAAGGAACCCATAATTCTGATATTATATCAAACTCTAAATAACAATGTGGATGGCTTCCTACTCAAAAGATTTGAGTGGTGTGGGGTTATACCAAAATCAGTCGAGTAGTTAGTCACAAGCTTTTACTGCCTCCTTATCCTGCCTCATGTCCTCTCCTTCAGCAAGCAGCAGTATTGGCCATGTTTTGGTGTATTTGAATAGAGGGAAAAAGTAGGATCTTCAAAAACTGAGAGGCCTGAATGGAGAATTTTGTGGACAAGATAGTGGAGAAAGTAAATTTTTGGGCCAGGAACCAAGAGTTCAAACTGCTTTCGATGGTAATTTCTTGAAGAATTGGAAACAAGTTCTTTGCCTTAAAATCAAACAAAGAAGTCGGGCATGCCACTGGTTTCCCCATAGAAAGGGCTAAACAAGCTTAATTTCAAAAGTTGCTCCCCTGGCAACCCTGGCCTGGCAGGGACGGGGAATTCTTTTGCGAAAGTCAAGTTCTTACTTTCTTATTCAGGCCAAATTGGTAGAGCCAACTCAGCCACGGCCGAAGTAAGGGCCTTGCTTCAAGAGATGACACAGTTTGACAGCAGTTGGAAATCCATTTTAATATTGGAAGGGGACTAAAAAAATGTATCACCTGGGCTTTTGATTTCAAGTCATTGAAGTGGTGATTACTTCAAATTTTTTACCAAATCAACAATTTTAAGAGCCGAATGAGGGTATCATTCAAACATATGTGGAAGGAAGTAATCTTGAATGCTGATAAGTTGGCGAAACAGGGAGCCATGGACGCACTGCTTGCAGTCCTAAGGCATATGGAGACTTAACTCTTGCAACCCACTTGTACTTTTCCCTCTACATTTTACCTCTCCCTTTATACCTCACCATCTCTCCCTTCCTCTACTTATCCTACCCGTCCTCCAGCCAACCATCCCTCGCCCCCACTCTCTCTCTTTCTCTCTTATGCTCCCTACATTTTACCCCTCCCTTTATACCTCACCATCTCTCCCTTCCTCTAATCATCCTACCCGTCCTATAGCCAACCTCCCCCCCCCCTCCCACTCTCTCTCTCTCTCTCAGTTCACAATTTGCACCAAAATCTATCAGCATCGTATAGCTTGGGAACAGACATTTAAATAACAGAGAGGGAATCCAAATAATATGCTACAAGTATATGGATAGACACTCTAATTGCAATTTCTTATCACTAAAACTCTATCGGTTGGATGCCAAAACAAAGAAAACCTAGAATCTGGACAACATGATACACAAACCGCATGTGTTGTTTTACTTTGTACCATGAAGCCAGCAAATGACCAAACAAAGCTTTCTCATGAATTACTATGTAATACTTCTTTGCATGCGCGCACATGTGTGTGTGTTTGTTTTTTGTTTCCCGGGGGATGAGAGAGAGAGATCATCTGGGTCGCATGAATGAAAGCCTAGCATGAAATAATAGACATGCATCTATTTTTACAAGAAATTTATCCAGGTTATCTTTCACAGCTCATATCCAAGTAGACCTTGATAAATAGAATGGCACCGTAGGATGCCGTTCCTTAAGGAATCAAGGTAAACCATTCACAAAAGAGGTAAAGTAATCCACTCCATTCCTACACTTCAAAAAAAAAAAAATCCATTGTAGAGTAATGATCAGAAAAATGACCTTATCCCATAATAAATCAGTCCTTACTTCTAGCATTAAAAACCTCACCTCGCAAAGCCAAAATCTGCAATCTTCAATACATAATGGCTGTCATTTGTTGAAAGGAGGAGGTTCTGTAGCAAGCACAACAAAAAGTATATTTCTTCAACTAAAGCATATAGTTATAGAAGAATCAATACATAGTCCTTCATCTAAAGATATACTGTTAGAACATTTATGATTTCATATTTGTTCAAAAATGGGGGACTATAATAACAATCCATGAAGGGCCTACAGCATGAATTTCTCAACGGCAAGGGACTTCTATTGGTACAGCCAGTACTTAGGGTCGGTTTGGATCTTTTGGATGGACCACTAAACATGACTAATTCTGTTTTTTGAAAAGGAACTGTTCAATGGAATGATTGTCACCGTCCACTTTTTAACCCTGCTCATTTGGAAAATGCTGCAAGTAGCTGCTAAATCTGACGAACCTCACAAAAAAATGAATTTGTTTTTTGCTCTCATTCATGATTAATGCTAATTAATAATACACCATACACCTGCTCATTCATGATAAATTCTAGTCAATAATACACACGCTCATTCATGATTAAAGCAAGTCAATAATACACCTACTCGTTCAACCCAGACTCGCCCTTAGTAAACGTGTGAAACAGCTTATACTGAGTATATGACAGAAAACAGAAACAGAGATAACCTTTCTCAATTGAATCATATCACAAAAGGAAAAACCAATAAGGCAACCTACAATAGGTCCAAATAGAATACTGGAGCCTACATTGATAGTCTCTTTCTAATTGATACGGAATTTGAGAAACTACGAAAATACAATGTACGAGAGAAATACTTTGGAAACTGAAGACAAGTAAGAGACTCAAATCAAGGTGCCCCACGAGATATTCCGAGTAAGCCGTCCAAGTAAAATTACCTTGCTTTGAGGCAAGGAACATTTGAGAGAGAAGAAGATATCATAATGGTTATTACAATGGTACCACAAGTATTGTGCCTGAGATGAGAAATGTTTTATTTTTGGGATAGTTACAGTGCATGTACTAGAAATGGGTCATGACTTGAAGTTTAATAGTTTATAGACAACACCAAGCACTTCCAGGTACATGTATTGGACTTCCATCAACAATTCTACAACCATACTCTTCAACACTATCTCTACTTACCAATTAGAAAAGGGAAGGAAAAGAACAAGAAGAAGAAGAAGAAGAGTGCTAAGACAGGCAGTAACTTCTTAAACACAAGTCAGTCATCATGTAAAACTCGAAGTCAACTCTAGCTCTAATATGCTAATAACCTAATGGATACAGATAGTGCTATGACAAAATCATACTTCCACATAACCCCAATTGGCTTACATTGATTTTTTTTTTTTTACATATTCTCCCTTTTTCTTAAGACGCAATATAGCTCTTCAACTAAGAAAAAGCGATCAATTACAACTTGTGTGGTACATAAGCAATAACCCAAACCCTCAAGGGTCCTTGTATAGGGCATCCACTTGTGGGCCTGCTTAATTTTTGTTCTAAACTCTGTAATTCCCATATGATTAATGCAATAGTCAACTTACTCAAAAAAACCCAAATCCTCAAGCCACTTCTAAATCACCAACTACCTTCAAGCTAAATGTCAAGTTGTCAACATCCAACGCAAATACGTTAATGCACTGGAGAGCTTTCTACCCCTTACTCGAGTTGCCTGCACAATCATTGACTCTGACTTCCATGAAACATTGTAATTCGTTCTTTTTTCATTTCCTTAACCACCTCTTTAAAAGCCACATCCTTTTAATTGGGATCAGTTCCTGATAAGAACATTATTTCTTTTATTTGTTAGGTTATTAGAACCTTAATCCCTCAACATGAAAAATATTTACCCTTTTTGACAACATGTTGTACAAAATGGATCACATGCATCAATTATTAACCCGCAGGGCGTGGACCTCAAAGAGATAGATGAAAAGAAGCAAAGCAGTTTCAAGATTTTGCCTGCAAGGATAATAAGTTTACAACCATAATACTGAAAAATAAACACCTCAACTAACCTGTGGCTTTAGATCCCGATGTATAACATTGTTCTCACGAAGAACTTGTAAACCAGCAGCTGCAGCAGAAAAGCACATAAACGTCACATGCACTCGTATGGAAAGTCGAAAAAAATGAAAATCCAGAGAATCATCAGATCTCTCAAGAAAAAAAAAGATTCATCAGTCAAAAACAGTAAACCCTTTAACTTTACCAAGCTGCTGCAGGAAGTGTTTTGCAGTTGCTTGAGGAACTCTTCCATGACGATTTATATACATAGAAAGATCGCCTCCTTTGCAGAACTCCAATACCAGATGTATCCTTCCAGACGTCTAAAGAAGACCAAGAAACAACCACGTCAAAAGCTTGCAGTATTTATTTCTTCATTTCAATCAGAAATACTTGTTGCAAAACTGAGAGAGGAGAGAGATGTGCTCTGCAGAGATACATATACCATGCTTATACCTTCCTAATTATACATACATAAAGAGAATCAAACAAACATCCATAAGTACAACTAAACATATGCACATAAGATTGTTTATAGTATGCCCATTAATTTGCCTCAAAATAGCAAGGGCAAAGATCTGCTCATTCAAGCAATGGATAAGTCCTGTCAAAGAATTTATATAAATAATGCTGTAGCACTCGTGCAAAAACCATTCCCCAAGGAAACCAGTAATAGTAATATCTTTTGGACTTCAATCCATTTTTCTTGCTACAAACTCCAGGATTTTCATTCAAAGATAAAAGAAGTACCCAATTGCTCTCCAAATCAGAGAATCTGTCTAAGTTTCATCCATAGTAGCATGCAGTTGCATGAGTTAACAAGGCTTGCTAACAAAAGATTATGTGTCATTTCTCCTTTCTTCAATAACAATTGGTTCATCTCCAAATATTCCCTTTCTGAAATTCTTGTATCTGATGTGACCAACAACCATAAATAGATCTAGGAACTGATAATTACAGCAATATAACATGCTAATAGTTAAAGAGTCTAACACACATCAGCTACAGTAAGTTGATAACTCTCTCCTGCAAATGATTAAAGCAATAATTTCATGAGGATTTCCAGTAAATAAGCGCCCCTTAATTGTTTTTGACCAGTAACTACCTTAATCTAATCAATACCAATCCTGTGGTTTCTATAAGGTTGCAACCTTAAAACAATCCAACTAAGGCGCACCTGCAAATTTTATCATAACATAAAATTTTGGTGTAAACAATTCTTAAGATTATTCGAAAATTTATTTCCACGTCTAATTATAAAATTTTAAAATCCAAAAATGGTTAAAATCAAGTAGATCTATAAACATATGGAAATCTTGAAAATGGATGGTCCAGATAATGTGCTGCAAGATACACTATTTCTGGGACTCAAAATATTTTTTTTCTTCATGTTCTTACATCTTGATGTCGAGATGATCAATTAAACAGTTATTCAACATTAAGACAACTTTTTCCAATGCATTTTTTAGGTGCATGTGTAATTCTACATTAAGGTTGCAACCTTATATAAATATAAACCACAAATTCAGACCCCTAGAAACTTAACCATCACTGAAAAGAACAGGGTATTAACCAGAAACCTCATCTATGGCGTGTATATAAACCACAAATTCAGACACCTCGAAACTTAACCATTACTGAAAAGAAAAGGGTATTAACCAGAAACCTCATCTATGGCGTGTATAAGTTTACCACTGGGTTGGGAGATCAAAAAGGAATAAGTTTTTACATTTCAGAAGATCTCAACAATACACCAATTGATAGATATAAAGATCATCAAACCCGTAAGCATAAAGATAAAGAAGAAGAAGAATAAGTGAGAGGAATAAGTATAAACAAGGGGAAATTGAAAAGTGGGTTATTTTGGGGCAACCTCAATTATGTCATGTAAGCGTATGATATTGGGGTGGTTGATCGTCTTCAATATGACGATCTCAGAGAGAAGGCTTTCCTGTAACTTTTTGTTGAGCCTCTCCATGTTTATCTCTTTAATTGCGTACTCATAGCCATGGACTCTATGAGTAGCACGCCACACAACGGAGTAAGAACCAGATCCAATCTGTTCACCCACTATGTAATCCCCTAAAACTCTCCTTCCGCTACTCCATGCCCTTGCCATTCTCACTCCAAAAATCCCCTCTTCTCTCCAAAAATCCCTTCTTACTCTATAAAAACCACCAAATAATTAGCTTCAAAAAACCCAATACCAGATTAAGATTTCCAATAAAACTGCTCCAAATTTGGTGAAAAATAAGATTTTGAGAACAAATGTCTCTATAAGAGGAAAAAATTGGAGGATAGTTGTTAAAAGGGGAACTGGATTGGTGAGTTAGTGATAAAATTGGGTAAAAATTGGTGAAAATAACAGATTTTTACAAATAAATTTGGTGGATAAAATTTGAAGAGTTTTTCAAGCAAAAGGAAACCAGGTGGAATGAGTTCAGAAACAGCTCTGATGCAGAGGTTATTTATATGATTGGAGTAAAAGATGAGACATAATGTGGTGGAGGGGGTTTTAAGAATGCCCTTGTATTTTATTTAAAATATCGGAAATATCCTTCATAAATTTCAGTTATTTGAAACCCTTTTTAGATTAAAACTTGACTCAAAACCTGTAAACCCCCTTTTTAGGTAAAACTTAAGACTGAACACCTGTCAAAGTGGTGAAAATGACTTCAATACCCCTTGGGATCTTATCTATCCATGCTAGAAATGGCAATGCTCCATAAGTCATGGTAATTTATGAGTCTTATAAGCATTGGTCATAAAAGTATTTCAAATAAATTAATGACTATAAGGCCTACACAAACAAATGAATAAAAAAGGGAAGCCTAATTGATGGTTATTTCTTGAGTGATATCTGTGATACTGATTATAGGATAGTATATTCTTAAGATAAAAGTGTTTTTGAGTGTTCTTAAACTTTCACATTTAAAATCCCCATCGTCTAGTATAAATTACTCATTGGTGGGTGATTTTGTTCTCTTTTATTTTTGGCCAGGCATTGATTCTCTTTTAGGGATAAGGTCAGCACAATAATTGGAGGTCAACCTAAATAAAAATACTTATGCTGACAATGTTACCCTCAACATTCGGGGAAGGGGCTAGGGTCGTGGTGATAGCAGCCCCATACGCTCTCCACCACATTGTGGTATTTCTTCTTATTGATATCACCCCAATATTACTTTCAAAAAAACTAACTTCTAAACTATTTGAAAATCAGAACGGATCGGAACATGTTTTTCCCACTGAATTATCAAAAATAATAATAATAATAATAATCTTACCCTTAACACATCAGCCAAAATATTCCCACTCAAAAGTACAATGATTTTGTTCAAGTGTGCCAGTGGATTTTGAGAGAGTACCAGTCCAAACAGCCGCTACGAATAAGAGATGTCGTCCTGGCGCAAATTTATAATCCATGAAGTTTACATATGCTTAATATTTGCATACAAATCTCTATTATTTTATCCTCTTTAAAATAAGTTCTATATCAAGAAAATATATAATGAGATTGTTTATTTTTGTTACAAGAAGGTCACAAGCAATCTTGAGCATTAGATGTGAAGCTAGACAGTTTAAAATGTGATATTGATGGGGCTTAAAGTCTAAAAAAAAAAATTGAACTTTTGCCAGTAAATCCTAATCATTCCATTTACTTTAGTTAGTATTTACACTTTTTTTCCAAATGAAAGTTTTGTGTGACAAAAAAATAGGATCGAAACTCGGGTGTGGCCAAATGTAGGCCTTACAAATTATAGAAGTAATTTGGTCATTGTGATTGCTTAAGGGGCATCACTAAATGAATAAATAAATATATAACTTGTTGTATACATCCAAAGCAGCAAGTCTAGAAGTTGGAACTAAGGCAGCTTTGTTCATTTGCTTGCGTCACTTGTTTGCTATTGGGGCAAATAAACAAGGGCAAAGGGCCCCACTATGTCCAAATCTTTACATATTTACCGTTAGGTAACAAAATGTAGCAAGCTATAAGCACTTGTTTAGCCAATTTTAAAAAGAAAAAAGTATATATAGAGCCGACGCTCAAAACAATCAAATTAGCCCACTTCAAAAATTTCACTAGAAAATGTTGTTTTGGTATCCAAATATCCTCAAATTGATCATCTCAATATCAAGATGCATGAAAATAGATTTCAAGTTTTGGAAATAGTACTTATTGTAATACATTTTTGGACTATCAATTTTTAAGATTTTTAAGTTTTTATAAATCTACTAGATCTACACCATTTTTTAAACTTTAAAATTTAGAGACAATTTCGTACATAACCCTAATTCATCATCTTATTTGATGGTAGGCCCTTCTTTCATTTTTCTTTCAAGCGGCATAAAAAAATCTTTGAGGATTCCGTTGTACCCCTCATCTCTTATCTCCCTCATTTATTCACTTTTGATCACAAAATTAGCCCCAATAAACCCTTTTGTCTTATTTCAACCCAATATAAGAGAGATAGGGAGCCTTTAATGTGGCATTGATGGGTTGAAAAGGCAAAAATATAATAAAAAAATATTTTTGAAACGTTTTTTAGTTAAAAGATGTAATGGGGTAGGTTAAACAAGTTTTTGAAACATTTTTTGGAACAGTTTCTTGGATTGAAATAGTGTAAAAAGGTTTGTTGGGGCTAATTTTTATTGTCAAAAATGAATAAATGAGGGAGACAATAGATGAGGGGGTACAGTGAAATCCTTACGAATTTTTTTTGTGCCGCTTGAAAGAAAAATGGAATGAGGGTCTACTATGAAATAAGATTGGGAATTAAAGTTCTCTCCGAAATTTTCTTGAAAATTTATAATTAAAGATCAAAATATATTTTAAGGCTATTACAAAGATTTTCAGTATTGAAACCACATGTTTCAAAACTATTTGAAGGTGACCTTTACTATGGTTATTTAAAGCCTCGGCTCAGTAGAAACCACACCCATTTAAAAAACACCCTGCATTTATGAAAGGGTACAGTTTGTATAGAGCCTAGGCTCTAAACAATCAAATTAGAGGCTACTTTCAAATAGTATCAAGAAATATGGTTTCAATATCGAAAATCTTTTGACAGCCTTAAAATATATTTTCATCTTTATTTATAAAGTTTAAAGCTTCAAAAATATTGTAGATCGAGAGATCTATGAAAACTTGAAAATCTTGAAATTGTACAATCCAAAAGTGCGTTAAAAAATACACTATTTCCAAAACTTGAAATCCATTTTTTTATTATGTCGATGCATCTTGATATCGAGATGATGAATTTGAGGATATTTGAGCATCAAAACAATATCTTCTAGTGAAAGTTTGAGGTAGGCTCAAATTTGATTGTTTAGAGCTTCGGCTCGATATAAACATTTCCCTTTATGAAATCAAAACTATGCTTTGGACTATTTAGTGGAGAATTTAAAAAAGGGGTCCCTTTGTTTCTAGGGAAACAACGTTTTTATCCAAAGTATTCCATATAAAGAAAACCAATGCTTTTCACTGTGGGTTGGCACTGGACTTCATAATTGAAAGCACTAAGCAGCTATGTTCTAAAAAGCTCTCTAAAATTTGGGAAAAGATCAAACGCCCTCTATTTAGTATTTTAGGCTAAACACCCCTCTATGTAGTTGTTTAGGCTAAAAGTTTATGTTTGGAACATTGCTTAAGATTTTTCTATATTTGAAGAGTATGATGAGAATATTATCATGTTTTTCTAGGAATGAGCTCGGGTCTAGGTGGCCAAAGTAGTGGGGTACTTCGACGTGACGTTTTGAGTTTCATTCTTTCTACGGATAGTAGGGGACCCCCTTCCCAACTAAATTACAGACGGAAAAACAAAAAAAAAATACCATGTCTTTAAGGTATAGCTTTTTATTTTTCCAATATTTGTAAAAACCAAGTAATTAATCAAAAGATTATTTACTCTGGGAGGAAGCATGTCCTCTATTCACCCCTTGGGTATATCTCAATTTAGGAATATTTTTAAGATGCCAAATTGACATGTGACCTCCTCATCTAGTGAATAATCCAAAAGGAACATTTTATGCGTGCTATTAAAACAATGATCTTAAGACTTAACATAGACCATCCAATTTTTGAAAGGTCTCATCTAATCTTTGAGAACTCAAAATCCAGTTCTTTTTTGAAAAAGATATACATCGTGATTGTGATGTGGATATCAAATTTTCGCATCCAAAAAAATCCCCTTAGCTAAATATTTTGACTAAGCAAAATAATTTCCTCCGTGCTCCCACGAGAAGGCGCTATGCGCACCCGAGCAATTGATTATGAGCCTCTTGATTGACCATTTTCTCAGGGATTGTATACAATGAGATTATCTACCTTTTTTATTAGTGTACCAATGTGAAATCTGATAGCTTAGGCATGTCACAAAGTTTGAGAAAATTTATTATGAACTTTTTGAGCTTGGTCATTGAAATAAATGTAGTCACCCAAATTCACATCTAATGGTCGAGATTAATTATGCACCTTGTACCAAAGATAAATGGTCTCATTATATACTTCCCATTTTCTTAAGGTTTTCCATACAACTAGCACAATGAAAGATTTCACATCACCGCAGCCATCGGCCCGTGACATTGGATGTCTGAGTTTTTATGTGAAGTTCCCTTAGAAACGTTGGAAGAGGCATTAATCAGTCCCAACTCTGAAATATGCAAAATCTTTTTCTTTTTTTTTGGTAATTCAGTGGAGATGAAGAGTCATTAACCATTTTTTAAATCATTAGTAGTTTTTTAATGTATCAGGTGAGAATGAAAGCATAGACCTTAGCTGGAGCACAAGTGATGCTACCACCATGTCTGAATCCTTGCAAGTTCTTGTTTTCAACAAATCTGCACTCGGATCCATTCTTTGGCTTTGTAAAAGATAATGATTTATTGATTTTCTATGATCACGTGGAACAAGTTGATCACGTGTATAGTACATGATATAAAATAACAAATGTAAAAATAATTTAAAATGATTATTTTACATGCCATCAATAAAAACATCAAACTTAAAAAGCGGGTTTAAGGGTGGCAATGGAGCCAAGACCCGACCTGATGTCTGGACCCGAGCCAAATAGTGCTATTATATAAATAACATTTAATATAATATTTTAATGTATTTAATTAATATTTAAACAAATATAGCTATATATATTTTAATGTATTTAATTAATATTTTAATAAACAATACTATGTATTTTTAGTTATACTATTTAAATAATATATATTTAATATAATATCTAAATAGATAGTATATTAAATATATATCTTTCTATTTTTTGGTCGGGTCTGGGTATGGATCCCATAATTTTTTTTTTTTGGCTCGTTGCCACCCCTGAGCCAGTTTGGCCTTGAGTGGTTGGTAACTAACTTTTTAGCAGTATTATATCTCAAATTTGATTCCCACCATTGAGCTACCCAAAAATAAATCACCAAAATCCTACACAT